CTTCAAAATGGTCTCCACAAAGAATATATAATTTATTTTCTTTTGGGCACCAGCCCTTACGAGGGAGATTGGAAGTAAAACCATTCAAAAACCACTGTTACCTGCATTAATGAAAGATGACACACTGTTCTGAGAGTTTTCACAGCCCATGGACACTTCCTTTCAATCTGAATAGGAATATAATTAGTACCCCCATTGTACTAATGGGGATGTTGATGTTCAATGGGGACTAATAAATTACATGAGGTCACACAAAAAAGTTGTCTTTTGATACCTAATCCTATATTGTGAAGAGGAATTGTTAGACCAATGGGATAGTGAATTAGACATTTCCATAGTCTTGCATTTTCTAGGGGAGGTATTTAATTTCCTTTCTTACTCATCCAGTATTGTATTTAGAAATTTCCCATTAATATTGTTGGTGGCTTTAATCTCAATAGTTTCTGGTCCATTTACCACTGAACTTGTGAAGTAGCAGCAGGAATGTGTTTGGGTAATTCCTAATCAGTAGTTAATTTGAGAAATAGTATGATTAGCAGTGGAGGCATTCACTGGGTATCTGGAGAGGCACTTCATAAAGAGATGCATCAGAAAACACCTTGAAGCTCATGGGAGAAATAGCAGGTCTACTACAGACCAGGGAATCAAGAACACGACATATCATGAAACTGAGGAAGCCCATGGGGCTAGCCATGAAGCAAGGCTAAGGCAAGCGTGGGTCCACAGAAACAGAGTAGAGCATATAGGTGGACAACTACATCCCCAGGGCTCTGAGCTGCCTTACAGGGGAAGCGCACAACATCAATGCTTGGAGAACAAATCTACAGGAGAGACCAATAAAGCCTGCATTTCTGCCAGCTGTATTTAGCATAAATGTGGTCTCAGCGATCCCAGGACCCCCACAAGCTAAGTAGCATAGCACTTCCAGAAGGAAGCTGAATGGGAAAGAGGGGTTATGGGCTCCACAGGAGTGCAATAGGAATAAACAGGGCAGAAACGAGACCACTACCCATAGGGGGAGTGCTCAAAGAGAAGTAGCTAAATGTGAGAAGCAGGTAGTATAGCGGAGAACATGGCACAGGGCCAGCCAGACTTTTCTTAGCACAAGATTACTTAGTAGAGAGGATATGGAGTGAGCATATCTGATTTCTTCGACTGGAATCCAGAAGACGAGAGTTGTGAATAGTATGGAATATGATACACCCAGGCGAGTGGTGGCCAGCAGAACTAGGAGCATAAACTTGAGTCATTGCATGCTTCATTTGGAGGGAATGAAGGATTAGCCCATTGCCCAGTAGAGTCCAGACAACTGGGACTTGGGACTGAGAGAAAGAGACAGAATGAAAGACAGAGAACGACATATCATTTTTTCTTATTAGGAAATCAACACATGATTACTATAAATATAAATCTTAGACATTGTGAAAATATTAAAAAAGTAACAATATGATTGTAATTATAATAAAAAAACTCCAATAAACTTGTCACCTTAAAAGAAAATAATTATTAGCATTTTGGTGTTTATTTTTTCAGATTTTTATTAAGTGTTTGCATGCATGCTTCTGTAGGGGCATATGCTAAATGTGTGTGTCTGTTTTATACTTGAAATGTTATTGGAGACATAGATAGATGAATAATAAGCAGCTAAATATAGAGATGTCAAATTCATTATTTCAGATTTTAGTAGGGATTTCATGTCTATGGTACTTAATATGCTCTGGATAACATTTCATAGATTTTATCCTAAACCACTTAAACATTTTGTGAGTGTAAATACACACACACACACACAACACACACACACACACACACACACACACACATTGGGTTACTTGGAAGGGCCTGGAGTTAAGAACTAGAATGAGAGGAAGAGGCTGCTTCTTTTTAGGAAATTTGGCTGGAAGTTAGGGTAGGTTCTGGACAAAGACCTTCATCATATGCCTTTTACACAAGCATCCTTTTACCTTCCCCATTTCTTTTGTTTGTATATTCCTGCCTCCGGCCCTACCATCTCAGCCACTTGGACCTTTTTGAATCCTGAAGAAGTCTGAATGTTCAATCTGTCTATAAGTCACTTGTTCATTTTTTTGAAGGTTTTATATGTTTATAAAAAAGTTTATGAACTGTTTTATAAACATGTCTTGTGTTCTCCATTCACCAAACCTAATTCCTCCCCATTGTGGACACAAAGCTAAGGATTTCTCAGCCTCTTTTGAGATGGATATGATTAAATGCTAGCTGTTACTTTCAGTGTGAGTGGAAGTGACATGTGCCACTTCTCTGCCAGGCTCAAAAATCTTCCCATGTTCAATCTTCCACATTGACATCAAATGTGACTTGGGAAGCCATGAGTTGCACATGGTAAACCACAAGCAGCCTGGGTTCCTAAAAATTATGTAGAAACAGATCCTTCGTACCTGCCACCCTCCATCAACCCATATTTACATGAGGCAGTTGAATAAATAAAAAATGAAGTACTAATGTGTCAAGATTTTGTACATGCTTTTGTTGTCCTTAAGTAGCCTAGCCTTGTAACAACACGAAATAAATAGTTACTGAATAAACAGATTAAAAACTAAAGGAAATAAAACCTGGAAAGTAAGGAGCTGAGGTAAGACTGCTTTTTATCCTTTTAGATAAAATACTGGATGCATTAATTTATCAAAGAAGCAGATATTTATTTACATTAATATAATTATCAAAGGTCTTAATCAAGCTGGGTCTCATATAGATTTTCTTTTTTAATTTACTCTGGGTCAATACCTTCTCACCTTCTCAGGAAACTTACATTATTGTTCCTTCTCCCTATTAGATATTCAACCTCACTATCTCAGTCATTCTTAGCATTTATTATATTCCAGTCTCTTCCATATTAAAAATGACAATGACAAGTATAATCCCTCCAAGATACTATACTCCTCTTTTACCTCTTCCCTTTCAATAAATCTCAAGAGAAGTTAGCTGTAACTTATCTCCACTTATGCCTCTCTCATCTAGCTCTCCCAATGCTCCGATATAACCACGGCCTTGGTGGAACTGCCAAAAGAACTTTTACTATCATCATCAAGGTTTTTTTTTAAATAATATATTTCATTGATTTTTTACAGAGAGGAAGGGAGAGGGATAGAGAGTTAGAAACATCGATGAGAGAGAAACATCACTCAGCTGCCTCCTGCACACCCCCTACTGGGGATGTGCCTGCAACCAAGGTACATGCCCTTGACCGGAATTGAACCTGGGACCCTTCAGTCCGCAGGCCGATGCTCAATCCACTGAGCCAAACCGGTTAGGGCCCATCATCAAGGTTTTTAGTCCTTATCTTCTCTGACTTCTCAACAACATTCAACACAGTTGACCACTTCCTCTTTCTTGATATGGGTATGATTCCCCTTTGGCTTCCATGGCATCACACTCTTGGTTTTCCTCTTATCTCTCTTGATACTTCTGCATTTCCTTTGCACATATAGTGTTCTCTGCCTGATGAAACAACATGTTATAAGAGAGCCTACAATCAGACTTTTAATTGTTATGCAATCACATTTGGATTGATGGCATCTATAGTAGGTGCTTGTGGCAGACACTGACTAGTTTCCATGACTTAAATTTTATCTTTAGACTAGACCATTCAGCTAGTCTAGTGCCCCTTTCCCTATTCAAATTTATTTCTACATTCAAAAGAATTATTGAGCCGCTATTATTTCATGAACACCACCAGACACTGAGTATATGTTGGCACCCTTGGAGTTATGGAATAGTTGAGTGGCAGAATATCTCACATGTGCAGGAGACAAATAAGTTCCAGTGGGTAATATGAAAAAGAGAATTAGACAAGATTTTCTGAGAAATTAGGCTGATACTTGACAAATGAAGAAGGTAGCTAGAAATGTGATGTAGAGTGGGGTGATGAGAATGTTGTAGGCAGAGTAAATGGTGTCTGGGTAGACGCTGAGACCAGATAAAACTGATTATGTTTTAAGTTGCAATCTGTAATTCATGTTTCTAAGTTATTTTACAGTAAAAAATATTTAATAAATAATTTGTATGTATTAGATACAAACCAAATTACTTAGTACAGTATGTGCAGTCTTTTAGATCTATCTTTCTGACTTCATCCCCTACCACTCCCTCTTTAAACCCTATGCGGCAGTCATAAAGGTTAAGATATAACAAGTGGTAGAGATGTAAAAAAGTGCAGAAATGCTCATCTTTCCACAAACACATGTACTTTTTCAAAATATTGAGCCTTTTTTATATTTCTCATTCCCCCCCCGCCCTACTTTTTTCTCCTTTTTACTCAATGCCTATGTTGCCTAGGGAAAAAAACACACCATCCTACATTTTTTTCCAAGATGAAATGAAAAGCATCCTCTTCCTTGTAGAGGTTTTTCCCATCTTTCTAGGCAAGATCTGGCAACTACTAATTTGCAGTCTTTAGTAATTTCTTGCAAAGAACTTTATTATGATACTTATAAATCTGTATTCTAGTTGTGTATATACATGTCTTTATCCTGGCACAAAATTGTGAGTTTCTGGAGAAGACCACATTTTATATATTTCTCAGTTTTTATTTTATTTACTTATTTTTTTATATTTTATTGATTTTTTTACAGAGAGGAAGGGAGAGGGATACAGAGTTAGAAACATCGATGAGAGAGAAACATTGATCAGCCGCCTCCTGCACACTCTCTACTGGGGATGTGCCTGCAACCAAGGTACATGCCCTTGACCGGAATCGAACCTGGGACCCTTGAGTCTGCAGGCCGACGCTCTATCCACTGAGTCAAACCGGCCAAGGCATATTTCTCAGTTTTTAATCTTGGCACTGCTTCCAGTACAAAGCAAATGGTGAACATAAATTTGTAATAGGAAGAAGCCTGATGGTCTTCCCACTGTATTAGCATAGTCTGGAACTTTCAGTGATCGCCAAGGGTAGCAGGTTTCTGTGAGGCTATAGCAAGTGTCTTTTATGGTACCCAACCGTGTTGTATTTCATAGTTTCATCAGCCTTGGCCCTTTCCCCTCAGCACTCTGAGCATGGCCTCCCTGATGGGCTTGGATTTCACACTGTAGATGATGGGGTTGAGCACAGGGGGCACCATCAGGTACACATAGGCAACCAGGGCATGTACAATGTGAGGCAGGTGCCTTCCAAAACGATGGATCATGGACATGGTGATGCCTGGGATGAAGAAGACAAAGACAGCAAGGATGTGTGAGACACAGGTGTTGAGGGCCCGGATGCGCTCCCGGGGAGAGGCCAGCCCAAGGACTGTGCACAGGATGAGAGTGTAGGACAGGATGATGAGCAGGGAGTCTATGCCCCCAGTGGACACAACCACAAAAAGTCCATAGCAGATGTTGATGGTGATATCAGCACAGGCTCTTCTCATTATATCAGGATGAAAACAGAATGAGTGAGATAAGAGGATCTTGTTAGGGCAGAAGTTCAAACGTTTAAGCAGGAATGGCAATGGGAAGAGAGATAACGTAGCATGGGCCACAACGGCCAGTCCAATTCTGATGACGACATTATTTGTGAGGACAGCTGCATAGCGCAGGGGGTTGGAGATGGCCACAAAGCGGTCAAATGACATGGCCAGGAGCACCGAGGACTCCACCACAGAGAAGGAGTGGAGGAAGAACATCTGCACCAGGCAGGCATTGAAGGCTATGAGACGATGGTCAAACCAGAGCACAGCCAGGGTGGTGGGCATTGTGGACAAGGTGAGACCCACATCAGTGAGGGCCAGCATGGACAGGAAGTAGTACATGGGCTGGTGCAGGCTGGGAGTCCTCCTCACAGCCAGGAGGATGAGGCAGTTTCCAGTGAGGGCCACAGTGTACATGCAGGAGAAGGGAATGGAGATCCAGCCATGAATGGCCTCCAGCCCTGGGATGCCAATCATCAGGAAGGAAGCTGGTTGGAAGAAGGAGATATTGACATAGGATTGGGAAGAGAGCATCCTTGGAAGGCAGAAGAGGTCTCCAGAAAGATGTGACCTCTTCAATCTGGGCAGAGAAAAGACATCGACAGGGCAGCTGTCATTAGGAAAACATTTATTTATGCTGTATAGGCTTTTAAATGAATTATTTCCCATTTCTCAGTTCTTACTTTGTATTATGAGTAGTAATAAAAATATGCATACGTGAGTGAATATGTCCTCAAAACAAATACAAAATGTAGGGGGTAGTTTAACTTCTTCATGATAACCAGAAAATAAGTGACTGAAATGGATTTAGAATTTAGTTGTTTCTAAATATAAGTTCTATGCTATTTTCACCTTACCACGCAGAGTCTTCATTCAATAAAGTGATGTTTATTAATATACTTTAATATATATAGTACTGTCTAAATAATCAATAAACACCATCATCATTATCATCATCATCATCATCATCATCATCTTCATCATCGTCATAGTCTTTGTCTTGGTCGTTACTGTTATTTTATTAACGCTGCATTTTGCAGTGTTTCTAAGTGCTTTCACATAGTTTTCTCACTGTTGTCTTACAATTACCTTGCTGATAGAGAAGGGAAATATTTTAGCTAATGTGAAAGGAGAGAAATTATGTAGCCCACCATAGGGTGAGAGCTTTCCTTTGGACCAGTTTATTAGAACTTCAGATCTTTTTGTGTTTGAGGGGTCTGAGTACAAATCCTAGGACATTCTCTTTTAATCAAGTCCCAGTAATGATAAAGTCCCAGGATGAAAATGAGAGTAAGTACTAGGTACGTTTTGGTAAATGAAGAGACAGTTGATTTTCCCCAGGTCACTGAGGACACTTAAATAAATGGGTTCAGCCCTAGCTGGGTAGCTCAGTTAGTTAGAGCATCATTCTGATACACCAAGGTTTGATTCCCTGTAAGGACTCATACAAGAAGCAACCAATTAGTGCATAAATAAGTGAAACAACAGATCACTGTCTCCCCCCACCCCCCTCCGCCATAGTAGCTCCCTCTTTCTCAAATCAATAAATACAAATTTAAAAAGTATGTTGTCTAAATATGCCTTGCCCAGAGAATATCAGCCAGGGTCACTGGATGCCAGTGTAACCCAGGCTACACATTACCTTTTTAGGAATCACCCCTCACTCCATTTATTTAGCATTCCCCACAACATTTAAAATACCAGCAAACGCTTTGTTCAGCCCCTTCCCACACTCAATTGAGGCCTTGACTTGCCCTTGAATGAGCATCCCTGTAAATCACTCAGCACTGACATCTGCTCTAGCTGGAGGTCCACAGCTGCAGGGCCAAGGACCCAAAGTTAGAATTTCTACAGACACCAAATGAAAACATGAATCAAAGACATAAATGCAGGCACCTGTAGTGATCAGTGGGGTCTGTTCTAATTTTAGTGTTTGATGCTAGGCAAATACATTTATTAATTTATCAATCATTGAATATCTCTCGTGTTCCAGATATTAGACTTCTCATTTTTGGTTGTTTGTTTGAAAATTCAAAATCAGAATTAAGGTCTATTTGGCTTAAACACTTTGAAGTCTTATACTGCCTGTATAGGCCATGGACAGTCCTAGATGCTGGAGATTTGTAAAGTGCGGAGCTGGTTGGACCAGATGATCTGAATGAGCTTGTTCTCTTCGCATGTTCCATGGTGACATGACTTGAGGCTCTCCAAATAAAACCCCTTCCTTTTTCTCTAAAAATCTCCTGTTTACCCCTCTGTCATAGTGAGCTTTTGAGTTCTTCCTACAGAGCCAGTCATCGTGCTATTCATCTTCTCATTTTTACTATTTATTTTTACTAATCCAAATCACATTTCTTCAGAAACCTCATTAGATCTCATTTTGATGATTTCATAATTTCTGTCCTCTTTTTTTCAGTTACTATGAATGAATGAACAAGAAAATGAAGAGCTGAATGAAAACTCCCTACTCTTTAATGTAGTTCCCTTCCATCCCAACCTGTAGTACAGCATCTCTTAGATGCATATGTTTGTTCATAATTTATACTATGTTGTTTGTATATAGTAAGGACCAGTGGCTCCTTCAGATTAATACACGTGATATTTATTTTTATCCAATCTTATTTGGGTTTTCATAGGACCAATCAGGAAATACTCCCTGTTATTGGTAGTTTAAAGCAGAATAGCAGGTGAATTTCACCCTCTCTATATAACTTGCAGAAAATATGAGGATTGATTTTTACCTGGGATGAATATCACAATTCTTTTTCTTTTATTCTGTATTGATTTATCTATTATTGAGTAATTCACAAATCCTCAATCCCACAGGTTAGAACTTGTCTAGTTTGTCTGTAGGTCTGATGAACTGTTAGATATTTGTGTGATCTATTGCTCTTGGCCGTGTTGGAAGGATCCAAATGCTAAGTTAAGCTGAATATTACAAGAACCTTAGAGCTCACAAGGGTGAAATTATAGAGCACCGTTTAAGACAAGTTGCCAAAAATTAGGGACAACTTTTATACAATCAAGCTAATTTTTCCCTGTGTCCAGATGATGGCTCTTTCCTTTTTATGTTTTGTGACTATTACAGTGTTATGAGGGGCCTGGCATTGGGAAGGGATTCTGTGTGATAAAAGGACAGGTTTTTTTCTGGTGTGTGTTTTCACTAAAATGCCCATTTTGGTAGCACAGTTGGATTGCCATGTTTTCTGATTCCCATGAAATCCCAAAGCACTCACTTAAACCTGGAAATCAGGTTAGGTTTGGCCTTATATTATTATCTCCAGGACAGTAAAAGGTCAAAGATATTTAAAAATTATAAGTTTCCCCCAGGAGTGAAATCATCTCCATTTTACTACTCTAAGATTCTGTTACCTTGTGACTGGGTGTGTCTGGGAAAGTTAAGATACCTAGAAACAATCATGCTTTCTTTACCCCAAGCCAAGTACTTTTCTTTTTTCACAAATCAGAAATGGTAAATATGTAATACGATGGAGTTAGTGTCTAATGCTATATGGTGGTAATTATTTTTAAAATACATATCAGCCAAATGCTTTTCTAAAAGGCTCTTTTTAATTGGAAGAATTGAAGGACAATCTCACAGTGAGGGTTGAGACACCAAACATTCAGGTCACTGGCTGATGCTATCTTGGATGGGATCTTAAGATACCCTCATACTGTGGCCCCAATCAGAGAAACAAAGGGGTAGGAATTTGCTTGGACACAGAGTCTGGGTTTCTGATAATTATCTGATGAGAAATATCTATGCTTCAGGAGAGTAGCCTTCTTCACTTCCTATTCTCTTTACTGGGGCCATAGACCAGCCCTCCATGGAGGCCTATGGCCCCAAATAGACCTCCTTACCTCTCTTCCAGCTTCTGCCATCTGCTCATCCACCATCCCATCCTGCACCGGGCAGCAGCTGACAGAGAGCGGATGTCAGACTCACTAATCTGGACCCCCTTCTTCTAAATAATATAGATGGGACTGTGCCTGAGCCTCAAGTTACTCACCCTGCTTGTTGTTGCAGGCGTCTCTGCCTGTCCACATTCTGAAGGAGCCCAAGAAAACTCTGCAACTAAGATGTTACCTTTATACCACTGGCTGGATGCCTTAGTGAGTTGCTGCTCCCCAGGGATGTCTGAGCTACAGGTCACAAAGGAGGCTCTGTGCTTATGTTTTCCTGAGCAATGGGAATGTGTGGGCTATGTGTGTTGCCATGGAGAGTTACAAGGAAATACAGAGATATAATTTTAAAAATCTACATTTTTTTCCAATACTGGTGACACTCATAATTTTAGCTTCCATTGTCTTTTTTTTTCCTAGACTCTTACAAAACAACTCCCAAAATGTTTTCCTTGCACTCTTTTTCTCTTCCACTTTTACCTTTTCAATCCAATATACACAGTTAAACTGGTGCAACATTTTACAATGTAATAGCATTTCCATGACTGACTTCTATATATATTTTAAATCCTTACACAAGAATATTTTTCCATTGATTTTTAGAGAGTGTGGATGAGAGAGGAAAAGATAGAAACACATTGATTGGTTGCCTCTTGAATGTGGCGTGACCAGGGCTTGGGCAGGGGAGGAGCCTGCAACTGAGGTAGGTGCCCTTGATAGGAATTGAACCTGTATCCCTTAGATTCACAGGCTGATGGTCTATCCATTGAATAAACTGGTTCAGGCTCCTTGCCTGACTTTTAAACAAAGAACAAAGGACAAATGTTTCAATCAGGTCTGAAAGACCCAAGAAGTCTCACCACTGCCCATCATCCTTAGCTCATCTCCTGTTCTTCCTCCAAGACTCACACAAATTTTGAGCCATATATGCCTACTCACCTTTATGCAAGCAAACCAAATAATTCCACACCTCAGTCCCCCACAACCCCTTTACTAGGTGTGCCTTCCCCTTGCCCACCTTTTCTGCCTGACTAACTGCTCCTCACCTTTCAGCCTCTTCTTACCTGTTTCCTTTCTGATTTAGTCTCAACAAGGCAGTAAACCCTCTTTGAGGTTCCCCCAGCACTTAGTGTGTACGTATTGCAGCCTCATTACACTTGGTTTTAGTTGTGTATTTACAAGCCTCTGTCCTCCAAAGAAGGGGAGAGATTGTGCACTGTTCATTTTAATATATCTAGTAATGAGCACAGATTCTTACACAAGTAAACACTGAATAAAATAGCTGAAATTAATGAGTGAAGAAAAGAATCAAGACTGTTCTTCACCCATCAGTCTAAGGGTTTCCATTTGCTTGCCATACTCTTGATTATGTATCTGGGTCAAGGCTCTTAACAAGGGCTTTCTGACATAAGATATGACTGTTTGGCCATGTTTTCCTCAGACTCTGTGGCTGATTCTTGGTTTCATCAGCCTTGCTATTTCTCCCTCAGCACTCTGAGCATGGCCTCCCTGATGGGCTTGGATTTCACACTGTAGATGATGGGGTTAAGTACAGGGGGCACTACCAGGTACACATAGGCAATAAGAGCATGTACAATTTGAGGCAGGTGCCTTCCAAAGCGGTGGATCAT